TCTCTCTCTCTCTCTCTCTCTCTCTCTCTCTCTCTTCCCAACTTCCCAAGGATTTTTGCACAAAACATAACAGAACTGAACACTATTTATTCACGCGCTTATACAATTGAATAATCAAGTGGTCAAGAAAGTAATACATTTAAAGGGACTGGAGAATTACGTTATAAAGTTGGTATGGCAAAGAAATCGCATCTTCTATCATAATCTATGTCACGGTGCCACTTCTCGGAAGCTTTCATCGCTGTCGTAAGATTTAGACCCCGAAGAGAGCAAAGTGTCCTGCTTAGTAAACAAGACCTGTGCCACCTCAAGCATGTGTCTGAACCGTTCCCACGTCAGAAAATGTCTTCCCCATTATTAAAACGATTAGACAAGGTAATGTATTTCGATCATTTTTGAAGATCATGTATATCTCCATCTTTTATATACAAGGCGAAATGTCTCGATTTGTTAGAAGGTCATTGTAATTGAAGGAATTTTACGCCCCCATCGTCATGATTTAGATAATTTAAGAGGTGGGCTTAGACCACAGCCACGGCCAACCCAGGCTGAGATGGATACAACATTCCAAGTTAAAAAAAAAAAAAGCTAGGAAGTTACATTTCAACATATCTCAATTTGTAAGAAGATTATGAACATTGAATTGAGATTAAGTTAAGAGGTTACATATCTCGAAAATCTCGATTTGTTAGAAGTAATACACTATGTACACGTCGAATTGTTAGGAATTTGAAAGGCTGCATGTCTTGACACATTTCGATTTGATTGGACGCAACGACTCAATTTCTTAGAAGGTTACAAGATACGTGTATGTATATTTGCTACAGAATATCTTGATTTGTCAGAATGTTACATACAATGTCGATTTGTGAGAAAGTTAAATACTTCTATTTGTTAGAAAGTCTCAATTCGTAAGGATGTCACATCAGGTTTGGACAATGGTACGTATGTCAGTTCATTAGGATGTCACATATCTCCATTTGTTAGAAAGGTAGAGTGTCTCGATTGGTGGCAATGTCTGGGTTATAAAAAAGTAATGCACGCATTCTTATACTTCTAACCTCGTAGACAAACGTAACTATGAAACAAGAGTGCAATGATACTTTTCACATCTCCTTAACACTTTTTTTTACCCCAAAGTAAAGATTTTACTCAAGATGAACGAGTAAAACAAAAACGATCATCTTTCAAACTGTTGTACATGATCACATAAGCCATCGCGAATGCATATAGACTCAAGTTGAAGACAAACACCAATCGTCATATTATTTTTAATGATCTTATCTACCATGTCAGTATTTCAATCTCTGAATGAGATTTGTTTTTGTTTTTTTAAAGCTGAAAAATAAAACAGTCTCCCATTTTTAAATGGGTACTGGCAGAAAGTTGAAGGGAAAATGATAACATGGAGGAACAAAAGCTAATGGGTAATGAAATAACGACCTAAGCAATTTGGTGTAACTGATTAGCTGAGTCAAATGTTTCGTACCCCACAGTTTAGATCACCAGAAAAAAGACAGCTTCGACCCTGCTATCACGGCAAACTAAGGTAATTCCAACTGAAAGACTGATGCCTACTGGAGATACACTATTTTGTGATAACTCAACACTTAATAACAGTAAAGTCCTGGGTCAGGTGGTTGGTTGGAGGGTGGGAGGGTCGGGGGCAGGGAGGAGCTTCATCTCCAAGGCCTTTGAAGTATTTCTTTAAAGAATGACAATGTCATTCTGAGAACCATCGTGCCCCAACTGAGGGCAGAAGGAGTACTAACTAGAAATGTGGTTGAAGCTTAGAGTTTTAGTTTTTGTTCCTGGACCCAAATTACCCCATAACTTCGGATGCGGAGAGATGACATTTCAATGTAAATACCATACATGCACCTAGGAAAACTTGTGGACAGAAAAGTGTGGGAATAAAAGCCTCAGTGTATTACGCTGGACACCACGAAACCATCCAACATCTTAGGGCCTGATTCCTAGTTAAGAGACGGTATATTAAGGTGCTTAACCAATCTTTTAGCACTTTTGTTACGTTATCTAAAAGGCGAGAACTCCACTTGACAGCCTTCTCCGATACAACCGATGTTAAGTGGGTAGACAGCCTAAGTAAAGCCGTAAAGAACCCACACTTAAATAAGAGAAACATTCCCTGTTGAGGATTCAACCCCTGGCCAACTTGCACATTAACCAAACGTGATACCAACTGAGTAAACGACAGGCCAATGTCTTTCCGTGTCTTCACAAGCATTCTTTCGGCTCTGTCTTATCCCGTTCGCACAAGGAGCTGACGACATCGCGAGATCGAAGCGACACCAGAGAGGAGGGTAGCGTGGGTTTTCTCCGTGTAGTATCCGGCGTGGAGAGATAAGAGGATGCTCACCACTGGCTGCGCGGGACCGGCCGTGTATCGATCGATATCTTTGCTTACGCTAAACGAACGCCAGACGGCTGAGAGAAAGAGAGAGAGAGAGAGAGAGAGAGAGAGAGAGAGAGAGAGAGAGAGAGAGAGAGAGAGAGAGAGAGAGAACATGACAGTTTATGTGAATGTTTCA